ATGACCGTTTGCACTTTTCCTGGATGATACCCTTGATATCCTCCCACAACTCATCTGGTCTTCGCTCATTAGTGTTCAAGGCCTCAAATCTGTTCCTGAGATGGTTCTGAAATTCAGGTGGGATAGAGTCAAAGTCATATTTTGGTTGCCTTGGATTTGGTTTAATTTTCCTCAACTTCAGCAGCATTTGTTTAGGAAGTAAATTTGTTTAGGAAATAAATTTGTCTTGAAGAAGGGGGAAATTGGCATTTTAAGAAAAAAAAATATGTCTGCCATGACAAAAATGGGGGGGGGGCTGGGAAAGCACAAATTTATACCCTTTGTATACTGCTGATTGAAATTTAAAATGGTGTAGAAAACAATGTAGCAGCTCCTCAAAAGAGTAAACAGAGTTGCTATAACAGCAACAATGAAAACCTGAACTCACTACTATTTGAGTTTATTTTGACTCATAAGATAACCTGGGGGAAAAAAAGCACACAGCCACACAAAAACTTTTATCCAAGTAGCTGTTCTGTTATTCATCATAGGGGGAGGAACCCCAAAAGTGGAAACAATTCCAAATTCTGTCAATTAATAAATGGATAAAAAATGTGGTATATCAATTCAGTGGAATATTACTTGGTCATATAAGAGCAAGGAAGGAGTGATACATGCTACCACATGTGTGGACGTTTTGCCAAGTGAAAGAAGCCAGTGACAATGGCACATATTGAATGACTCCATTTGTGTGAAATGTCCAGAACAAGTCCATAGAGATAAAAAAGACTAGTGGCTGTAAGAGATTGAGATGGGACGAGGCTGGGGAATTGGGAATTAACAGCTAAGGAGCATGAGGTTTCTTTATAAGGTGATGAAAATAGTTTAAAATTTATTGTAGTGATGGTTGCATATCTCTATGAATATACTAAAAACCAATTAATTGAATGCTTTCCGTGGGTGAATTTTGTGGTATGTGACAGCTCCATAAAGCTGTCACACAGACAGAGGAATAACATCAGAAAGAAAAGGAAGCATACCCTATTCCACACTCCTAGAGAAACCCACTGTTAGGCTCACCCTGGGGCAAAGATAGACTTTCAGCTTCTTTTTTGTTCACACACCAACATATTCCCTTCTGAAGGGAAGGATTTCAAGCAAAGAACATTATCCGCAAAAGTTATGAAGCAAATGCATCCACTTTATTAGGAGCCTCAACCCTGAGGCTGTGACTGAGTAAGACTGTCATTTGTCTGTTTGCCATGTCCTGATTTGTCACCCAGTGTATTCATTCTCGGGTTCCCCCAATAGGCAGGTCGATTCTCCTAGTCTATTTTGTAGTCAAGGCAACTGAGTAAAGGTTTATTCACCCCCATTCTGATTTCTCCCCAGCTCCTAAGCTTGGGGGCTTGGATCCTTCAGGGGTAAGAAGCTGGAGTTGACAGAGGGAGCCCACTCAGGACAGGGAAGAGGAGGCAGGCATATTAGATTTGACCCAGAACCACTCATTCAATGCAGAGACAGTGCCTGAGCCATGAGGACTTCAGGAGCACCCGGTAGGTCTCTGTGAGGGTCCCTAACACTGACTTGCTGCTCTCAGTAGGGAATGTAAATTTTTAAAAAAAATTAAGCTATAGTGGGGGATGGCAGGCCTGTTTGCATTGGTGGCACTAAGTGCAGCCAAGCTGAGCTGCACTGTTCAAACAGACTCCCAGCCGCCAGGCACCTATCTGAGGAGGGCGAGGTGGGTGGACCAAGGCTGGCTGGGTCCCTGGGTGCTTAATTCTGCCCGCTGCCTGCCTTGTGGCTGCCTCAAGGTCCCAGCCCAGCTCCAGCCGCGCGATGCCTGGTGCTGGGCTCTGCCACTGCTGGAGCAGCCGGGTTCTGCCCCTGCTCCTGGTCTATGTTTGCTATCTGCTGCTTGGTGCCACCATCTTCCAGCTGCTTGAGAAGCAGGCAGAGGCTCAGTCTAGGAACCAGTTTCAGATGGAGAAGCTGCGCTTCCTGGAGAACTACACCTGCCTGGACCAGAGGGCCCTGGAGCAATTTGTGCAGGTGAAGGGGAGCGATGTGGGCGTGCGAGGGGAGGCGTGGGAAGTGAAGAGAATGGGAGTTCTTGTAGTGGCTCAGAGTGACCCAGACTCGCTCGTTTGGAAGCTGAGTGGAAACAGAGAAGCAGGTGGGACCTAGTCCTGGATCCTATCCCTAAGCCTAAAACTAGACTGCCATGTGACCATGCACAAGTTACTGAACCTCCCTGAACCCCTATTTCTTCATCTATGAGCTGAAGGAAATCATTCTATCTTGTATTTGACAGCAGATAGAGAAGCATTTACTGTATAAACATGAACTGAGTGTCAGTGTCACCAACCCAGTCAAACATCCATCTCCCTCGCCTCTGCACTCCCCTCGTCGACTCCAGGGTTGCTGTTGTGTCTTCTCTCTCTCTCCAGCTCTGGACTGTGTGCTGTTCACTGTGAGGGCTGTGGCTGGGAGACAAATACACATCAGAAACAATTACCTGCCCTGACTGACTCTGGCCCTGTCCTTTGGAGTTCAGCTTGATGGGCACAGTCAGGGAGCCTGGGTTATGCCTGCACCACCTCCGCAAGGGACTCTCTACTGACAGAGCAGGTCACACCCTGCCTGGCCTCCTCTGCTTCCTGGACAGACCCTAGGTCCCAGGTTTATAGGCCTTCCTAGCCCAATACATTCTACCAGAAACAAAGCAAACTTCTGCTTAGATGTCTTGGCTACAGATTGGGGCTGGAAGCTACCTACCTGTTGGGAATACCCAAGGATGAGTGCATGGGGAGAATCAGAACAAAGCAAATGGACAAATGACAGTGCTGTTGGGAAATGGAATGGATTCCAGTCAGCAGGGCTAAGCAAATGACAACACCAAGTGCAAAAGGGCAGGTCAAGTGCATAATAATCATAGCATTGTTTTTGCCAGCTGCCTCAGTGACCTCATACAGGACATGACTGTGAACCATAGAGTCCATGGCTGGCTTTTCCCCCCCCTCCAAGAATTACAGTATGTCCAATATTGTATTTTTTTAAATTCTATTTCATTCATATACATCATTGGGGGTTTTCACCTCTCTCCCTTCACTCTGTGACCCCATCCTTTCCCCTCTTCCTACCCTTAGCCCCCTTGCCCTCTTTGCATATCCACACACATCTCACTGGTTATCCTTCTGCCCTTCAAGAGTGTTCTTATAAGGTATTTGTCCTTATGCTCCTAACTTAGTTCACTCATCATAAACCTCTCTAGCCTCTCTCATGTTATAAAGTATTTCTCAAAACTGTTGCTCCTGAGTGCTGCATAGTATTCCATTGTGTGAATGTACCAGTTTCTCAATCCAGTCATTTGTTGATGGACATTTGGGTTGTTTCCATTAAATCATTGCACCTTCTTTGAAGCTTCATTGAAACATTTCCTGTAATAGGCAAAGCTCCACTGATTTGTAATTCTATAAAAATCACCAGGAATCTTCTTAAAAGTTTAGATTTTTGATTCAGCATCCCTGGGGTGAAAATGCAAATTCTTAGCAAGAGGTTGAACTAAAATGAAGGTTGTTAAAGATCTTTAATGAATTGTCTCTCTGGGACCGAAGTGACAATGTTGTTGTTGTTGTTGTTGTTGTTGTTGTTATGTGCCGTTGAGTCGCTTGCGACTCATAGTGACCCAATGTACAACAGCCCTAAACTCTGCTCTGTCCTGTGCTAATTGCACTGTCTCTGACACTCACATCCTGATTATCCCAGTCATTGCATCAATCCACCTCATAGAGGGCCTTCCTCTCCTGCGCTGTCCCTCCACCCTCCCAAGCATGATGTCCTTCTCCAAGGACCGGTCTCTCCTCACAACATGTCCAATAGTCAGTTGAAATATTAGATAGCGAGTTTGGTTACATTAATGGTGTGCCATTGAATCAACTACAACTCATAACAACCCTAAGAACTACATCTGAACCTGGCCCTTTCCTGTGCCATCCTCTTCATTCCTGATATATTTCAGCCCATCTGATACAATCACTGTGTCAATCTATTTTGTTGAGGGTCTTCTCGCTTTCTCTGACCTTCCACCCTTCCAAGCATGATGTCTTTTCCGAAGGACTGGCCCATCCTACCAGCATACCCGAAGTATATAGATCAAGCTTCCTTGCCTCCAAAGAGCACCTTGTTTGCACTTTCTCCAGAATATATTTGTTATTTTGGCACTCCATGGGGTAGTCAATACCTTTCCCCAACACTACAAATAAAAGCCATAAACTGGTCTTTTGTCATCTTTAGTCGCTGTGCAACTGTTAGATGCTTAGGAAGTAAGTGAAAAGGCCAGGCCTGAATCAAGTGCACCTTAGTCTTTAAATCCAATGTTGTTCTTTAGCATTTTGGAGTGGCCCTTAATGTTAATGATGGAGGAACAATTCAGAAAAAGAAAGGTGAGAATGGCTGCAAACTCAAAGAATGTCATCAGTAGCACTAAATAGTATATGATGGAACTCTGGTCGCCTAGTGGGTAAGGCGTTGAGCTGCCAACCCAAAGGCAGGTGGTTCAAATCCACCAGCTGCTCCACAGGAGAAAGAGGGGCAATCTTATCTTGTCCTATATAATTATAAATTATAATTATAGAGGCTATAATCCTCTGAAAGCCCACTGCGGGCACAGCTATGAGTCAGTTCTGACTCGACAGCACACTGTTGCTATTGTTATTAGGAGCATTTAAGTACAACTCAAAGCAACCCTATGAACATCCATCAGCTCTGAACCCTGTCCTATCTTGTGCCATCCTCACTAATTCTGACATCCTGGAGCCCATTGCAGCAGACACTGTATCAATCTGGCTGGTTAAGGGTCTTTCTCTCTTTGGACAACTCTCCAAGCTTGATATCCCTCTCCAAGGAATAGCCTCTCCTAACAACATGCCTGAAGTATGTGAGAGGAAGCTTTATCATCTTTGCCTCCAAGGAGCAGTCTGGCTGAACTTTCTCCAAGACGGGTTGTTTGATCAATAGTCAAAAGCACATAAAAAAACGAGTTGTATATATTCTCTACAACAAAATAAATGAAATTCAGAAAGAAAATTAATGTGGCCCCGACAGACAGCATCAATGTTATCCAAGAAACAGTCAGGAATTTTCTTCTGGTAAAGATTTTAGGTGCTCACCCAAACCTACCGTATCAAAACTTCTTGGTGGAGGCCCATCATGGTTAGTGTGAATAAATCCTCCGAGGGACACTAGTGTCCCCCAAGATTGGAAATAGCTGGCCCAGAAGATGACTTGGGCTGGGTTGTCAGAGAGATACTGCTGGAACCATGAGAGACTCACCTAGACCCTTTCTCCCGGAAATGAGGCCTATGACTGCAGGTATCACTTCCTTGTTCTCTGACTGGCTGTGGTAGTCTGAGTTGGGATCACAGCACCTAAGTAAGGGCTGAGAAAGGTGTATGAGCCTCCAAAGTCCCCTCCAAGAAGGCACAGGTGGGGGAGACCTGCAAACCTCCGGCTCCTTCAGATCTGGGTTAGAGGTGTGTGGAGCCAGAGTGTGTGGGATTCTGTGTCTGGGACCTGATTGGCTCTGTGAACTGAGGATGGAGGGAGGCACCGAGGGGAGTAGTGTCACTGATGGGCACCCCTTTACCTGAGAGTCTTCAACCTCAGGAGATGCTCATTTGCCAAAGTCCAAGAGCTAAAGAATGCTAGGATGATTATAGGGAGAAAACATATTAGTCAAAATCATAAGTGAGATGGGGGATAGGTTATTAACACTACTAAAAACTTACTTCATCAGGAAATAAGGCCTTGCCCAGTCTCACAGAACTATTAAGTACGGCTTCTTTTCCATCCACTGTGGATTCCTAAAGAAAGCAGTGCCCAGAAACCCCGACTCCCGCACCCTAGTCTACTTACTAACTGACATCCAGGCCCCACAAGGACCTCGGAGACAGAGGGTTTGGGTTTGTTGTTATGGGTGCTCAGGACAAGACTGAATGTTTCTCCCAAAGGAACAGGCTCTCCAAAAAGCAAGCAGGGCCATTGGGGAATGACTGGCCCTCACCCCTCCAAAACGTGGGCGGGGCTGTGGGAAGGAAAGGGAAAGGTCAAAGTCTGCATCTCCAGAGGTCAGCTCCTGCCTAAGTGAGGAGAAGCAGACAGGCTCCGGGAACACCCAACTGCCCCTCAGTCACGCCTACCCCCTGGAGAGGGCTCCCTGGTCAGTGGGAAACCAGTTCCTGCAGGATCTAGAGGCAGTGGTGGCCACGCTACTTCCCACTGCCTCCACTTGTCTTTGAGGCAAGAATGTGCTGCTGCCCTGGGACAGACAGATCATGGATAAAAGGGAGGGGGGGGAAAGGGGACACTCCGAGCCCAGCGACACGCACCCTCAACACAAGAGCAGCACACACTTAGACACAAAATGTGTGCACATGCACCGTAGAGTCCCCATACAAACATTGCCCACATACGCACCCTCCACATGTACACTCCCTCCCCATCCCAACCCTCACACCCACAGATGGTTGCACATACCTCTGATGGGGTTTCTTCTGTTGGCACAGCCAAGGGAACACCAGAGGGCATTAAAGAGCAGACTGGCAGCCCATGAGAACCCTGGCTTCTCCATCCGCCACCATCAGCCTAGTCGGGAAGGTGATGCATGGATTTCCTGAAGTCCCCAAATCCCAGATTCCCTTCCAGGAACACTCAACCAGACACTTTCTCATTGTTCTAGGAACTGGCATATGTGTCACGCTCGGGAACACCTGCAGCCTGTCCCCTGGTGCACTTCTGTCGCTTCCTCCACCCCTCCAGGGGCCACTTCCCACCACCACTCCATGCTAAGAGCCTGAGCCTCAGTCTATCCCCGCCAGTTAGGACTGGGGTCAAGCCACATATCCACTCTGTGCCTTAGTCTCCTTTTCTATGAAATAAGAAGACCAACCTTGACTCAACAGCTCATTGTCATTGGCTCACAGCTGACAGTCCGGCAGGTTCTCAGAGGCTGTAAATCTCACACACAGGAGAATGCCCCTCTTTTTTTCCAGGGGGCAGCTTGTGAATTCGAACGGCTTGCTTCTGAGTTCTCAGTGCAACTCCTTAGCCACCAGAGAATGACATGAAAGCTCGCTGCCTGGTCTTGGCCAACAGTCTGTTTTCCTCCCAATTCCATGCCACCTTCTCTTCCAACAGGTCATCATGGAAGCATGGGTGAAGGGTGTTAACCCGAAAGGCAACTCCACCAACCCCAGCAACTGGGACTTTGGGAGCAGTTTCTTCTTTGCAGGCACGATCGTCACTACCATAGGTAAGAGGGTGGGGTAAAGAAGGGTTTTCCCAATGTCCCTGCCTTCATTTGGGTTCCCCCGACCCCCCCACCCCAGATGCTGAGACAAGGAGTTGGTTCATCCAGGTGGAGCTTGCAGGAAGCACAGGGAGGCGGGTGGGAGAGGAAAGTCACTGAGTTTCCATTAATGAGCTGGGCTGCTGGGCTCGCTCTGAGAAGCTGGCAGAGCCCGACCTCAGAACAACCCCACTGAGGGGTGAGAGAGCAGCAGTATTTGTCTGTTTATCCTGCCTCTGCTGACCTTGCATTTGGCCCTGTAACCCCAGCATGCTCCAGCGCTCAGAAGAATCTCTTTCTAGGGAGAGGAAGGAACCTGGAGTGGGAAATTATCTGCGGGCTCAGGAACTATACACTAAAGTTGTAAGCTGTTAATTCCAACTCGAGTTAGTACTGCTCAGCTAAGAGGAAACTCAATCTCCCCCAGGCCTTTCCATTAAATCAAAGGCCTTACACCTTTGTTGAGCTCAAATGACCTGCCAGACAAAGGACTGGAGTGGGAGTGAGAGATGCAAATTTGGAGGGAGCCCACTCTACCTCAGATTCCAAGGAGCTCCCAATCCACCAAGATAAGATTGTTGTCATTGTTATAACCTGCTGAGTCAGAAGCACTCAGAGTTGACCCTCTGGTGGGTTTTTTAGAGGCAGTGAATTGCATGGGAGGTGATCAGTCTCCTACAGAGCACCTAGTAGATTCAAACCACATGCCTTTGGGTTGATAGTGCAACTCTTTGCCACTAAGCTACCAGAGTGCCCAGGCATACCAATGTAATGTAAACCAAGGTAGATAATTAAGATAGGTGATACACACACCACTATGGAAATCCACCCAGTGGAGACAGTAGGGTAGCAGTCAGGAAGGACTTCATGGAGGATGTGTCATGGAGACGGGCCTTTTAAAATGAGCAAGATTCTTATAACTAGAGATCATCTCAGCAAAGTGTGGGAAGAATGTATTCCTCCTCTTCCTAGAGGTGATGGAAGATCAGCTTCTACAAGAGTTTGGGTTACGAGATAGCTCTGAATCCTCTTTCCAAATTTGCACATCCCTCTCCCGCCACAGGATATGGGAATCTGGCGCCCAGCACAGAGGCAGGTCAGGTCTTCTGTGTTTTCTACGCCCTGGTCGGCATCCCACTCAACATGGTCTTCCTCAACCACCTGGGCACAGGACTACGAACCCATCTGGCTGCTCTCGAGAGGTGGGAGGATCCACCCAGGCGCCCGCAGGTAGGGTCCCTCCCACCCTCCAGCCCTACTGTGATAGAGTCTGCAGCTTCCCTTCTGAAGCAGATCCTGGGAAAGGTCATTAGGCAGAAGAGCCTGTGGAAGAGTAAAGGCGGACATGGGTTTGGGCAGAAAGTTAGATTGCTCTGCAGAACAGATACAGACTTGGCTAATTCCACAAGCAGCAGGTGTGCACCACCAGTTTTTCTCCCGTGGGCTGCAATGGCCAGGCCTCCATGCTGTGCCTCTATCAGACACCCACTGTGGACTTTTCCAGGAAACAGTTGGGGGAAGCAGTTCTCCAGCTCTGACAGTGGCTAGCATGCTCTTCTGTGGCAAGAGATCGGGGTGTGCCATCTCCACGTCCAGAATATCAATATCCTTTCCTGCAGTCAAAAACCAGCTCCCAGATACTCATGGTGCAACACACCCCACCCCCACCCCCTGTACACACACATACACCCCAGGGTCAATCTTCTGGGAAGTCAGAGGCATGCTAGGACAAAGTGCAGAGGAGTCTGGGGCCGTTCAATGGCAGTCCTCCATCTAAAGCTGGGTTGGTCTCTAGCAGGCCTGTACAAGCATGGGCTCCATGTTTAAAGGTGTCTCCAAAGCCCCCTTGATTTGCAACATAATCCCTCTGGCCAGCTCCTTTTCTGAGTAGGAGAAGATGAGAGAGAGAGAGAGTTGAGAATATGAGAGAATTTCCCAGCCCAAAGGAGAGAAGAGGCCTAGCTTCTAGCCTTGGTCCCCCTGACCCAATCCTGGAGCCTTCCAATGGAACTCGGTGCTCCCTCCCTCGCAGCTCCTGCAGGTCCTAGGCCTGGCTCTGTTCCTGACCCTGGGCACGCTGGTCATTCTCATCCTCCCGCCCATAGTCTTCAGTCACGTCGAGGGCTGGGACTTCGGTGAGGGCTTCTACTTTGCCTTCGTCACTCTCAGCACCATCGGCTTTGGGGACTACGTTGTCGGTAAGAATGGAGCAGTCACGCATCTGGAACGGGGCCCCACTGGGATTTAGGGCCTGGGAAATGGGCTGTCTGCTGGGAATGACTGTTGAGAGTCAGATAAGCCAGTTGACATCAGTTCCGCTCCAACTCATGCCGGCCCCAGCTGTGTGCTCCACAGTTTTCTGTGCCTGCTGTTTCAGACGTAGGTCTCTAGGGCCAGTTATTCAGACTCATTTCTGAGGATCAGTAACAACCTCAGGTATCTCCGGTCGGGGATTCATGGTCATGTCCTCATTGTTCACTAGGAGCTGGGGACAACAGGAAGGGTTATCCTGGGGGGGGGGGGGTTGGCATATGGAGCCTAGGGATAGCAGTACCCTCAAACCCCTGGCATTTATCTTGTGCCACTCACTGTCAGGCACGGACCCCAACAAGCACTACATCTCGGTGTATCGGAGCCTGGCGGCCATCTGGATCCTCCTGGGCCTCTCCTGGCTGGCGGTCCTCCTCTCAGCAGGCCCCCTGCTTCTGCGCAGGTGCTCTCAGCGATGGCTGCTTGGCAGGGCCCTCAATGAAGGGGACGCTCTTGGGACTGCTGGACTCCCCAGACCTCAGAAGACCTCCATCTCTGCCTGAAGTCCCCAGGTGGCCCCAGAGGCCTCACCCTAGCCCACCCTCCCTGCCCTCTGGATTTCCTTCTCCACCTCCTCCTCTCCCAAACTAACCACTTCCCAGGGGCTCCCTGGAGACAAGATACATGCAGGCAACTGACAGAGAGGTAATGCAGTGATAACATCAAAGGGAAAGCGTGTGTGTGGAGTGAGACACACACCTTCACCCCAGAGGCCCTGGCCCTTTACCCTCAGAAGTGACCTGGGAAAGCAGAATCCAGGCAGGGAACATTGTGGTTAACCCTCCAGTGCCAGCTTTCCCAGTGCTTATGAATAACTCCAGAGGGTTTTCAGAGGCTGTGAATCACACAGGAAGGAGATTGCCCACCTTTCTCCCAAGGAGCGGCTAGTAGATTCAAACACTGAGACCACAACTCTCTACCCAGGGCACCCACTAGGTTCCCTCATACATGGCAGAAAACAAAACATGATCACATGCACAGAGTGCATTTGGTGAGCTCAGCGATGTGTGCAAGGCTCTGGAGATGCACTTCTGAAAGCTCCTGCCTTCAGTGAGCCTTTCATTGAGGGAAAGGGCTGGACAAACTGAGAGGCAACCCCAACCCAGTGCCCAAAATGCTATGATGGATGCAGACCCAGGGTTTGTGGCCATCAGGGAGGGACTAGGAGAGCAGACAGGATGGATAGACAACAACCTTAGAACAATCCTAGTGCAGGCAGGCTACCTACCCTCATGAAGGTCTCCACCAGAGAGGAGGCAAGCTTCCTCTCAAAGCTCATTAGTGCCCCTTCCCTGGGGCAAGTTCTACCACTGTCCATGAACAAGGCTTAGTGCCTTTTAGTTGTTCTGCCTGCTCTCCTGGGCCTGCTCCCCCATCTGCATAGGTCAGCATCTCCTCTGGACTCCTATCTTTATAAGAATATTTCCAAACTCCCCTTGGGAAGCCAGAGAACCAGCAGATCCCAGGAGCCTTCCAAGAAATGAGCCACAGGGAGGCCTGGTCTCCCTTGGGATGTTCTCACCAGGCCTGGCCTTCCTCCCACCAGATTGTGACATGTCTGGCCAGAAGGAGGGGGGAAATCAGGCTATCCCAAGGCTCAGTCTAACGAGGCCTGGAAACCTCAGTCTCTACCCTTTTCCTCCACTCCCAGTAGCAAAGCAGGTCCTCACCAAATGGTCCAAGCATCCTCCTGAGCCTCTGAACAGGACTGGGGTAAGGGTGTCAACAGAGCAGCCTCCAGCCAACAGGTCCAAGAAAGGATCTACAGCAGTAAAGGGGATTAAGGCTGTCGAGTTTACACCCCATGACTCCCACACCTTGAAGAGAGGCCCGAACCTGGAGAAAGTCTATGGAGCCTACAGCACTGGAACCTCCAACTCTTAGTAGAGGAGGGAATTAGGACCCTCCAGCTATGGACACACAACAATGGTCAGAGCTTATCTCCTTAAACTCATGGATAAGTGAACATCTTCAGGATTCCTTTTCGTTCAAGAAACTAACCTAGTTAAGAAAAAGCCCCCTGAGAGACTGGGTACTGCTTGACAGGGTGTCCTCTGAGACCCAGAGTCTAAGGACCCAGGCAGGGGGCCTAAGACAATAAACTTGACTTCTACTTTCTCTTCCTCACAGTGTGGATGTCAGGAGTGTCTCCTGATCTTGGACACAGGAAATGCTGGGGGCTCTGGGCCCCTTCCCTCTGAGCCCTGTGGTCACCCAGCAGCTTTCCTCTTCTCCCTGACAAGGTCGGGGAGAGGTGGGGGTAGGACGGACTCTCCACGCACATTCAAGGCGGAGCCCACAGCTTTAAGACCTCTTTGGTCCCAGGGATTGGATCCTTGTACCGGGAGGGGCAGGGCTGTCCCATTCCCCAGCTCTCCTGCTCGCCAGGGAAAACTGGGCACAAACAGGCATTCATCTGAGAACTGACTAGCTCGTCACATGTCTCCTGGCTTCTCCCACGATGTGCAGACCAACAACCGGGGCGCCGCCTGAGGGCAGGGCTGGTGGCTGCGCCTGCTCAGTGCCAGGCACCCTGCTCCTGCTGCTCATCTACCTGGCTTACCTGGCGATGGGCACTGGGGTGTTCTGGATTCTAGAGGGCCACCTGGCCTGGGACTCCAATCGCAAGTTCGAGCACGATAAGTGGGCGCTGCTGCAGAACTACACGTGTCTGGATGGCCCGGCGCTGGACTCAATGATCCGGGTCAGAGGTTGGGGGAGGCCGCCAGGGCGCGGCGGGGAGGGGCGCGGGAGCGCGCGGAGCCTTTATCCAAAAGAGGGGCCTGTAGAGAGACCCGGAGACCACTAGGGGCTTGTACATTTCACCGCGCAGAAAGAGAGGATTGGGCTGGACCGCTGAACCACAGAGAAGGGAGTCTCTAGGGGAGGAAGGCGCGGTAGTGACCCGAGTCATCCCTTAGGGGGCGAGACAGGATGACTGTCAAGAGATTCTTGGCGTAAACATGCGAATTTGGGCACGAGACCACAGAGGGCGCTTTTATCAGGGTCTGAAGCTGGTCTAGTGGACTTGGCCTGGCCGGGCTGCAACAGGGACCAGAGCGCTAAGGCTGGTAGGAAAGTGGCAGAGCAAGCGGAGGACAGGATGCGCTCAGCTGGGTCAGGGCCAGATCACAAAGGGCGGAGGGACCTGCCTGGGGCCCTTCCAGAGAGGGGCCCTGGTGCAAATACACGCGAACCGGGAGTTTGATGGTAAAGTGCGCAGGCCCAGATCGGAAGAGAAGCAACAAGGAGGGTCCAACAGCTGAGTTTGGGGCGAAAAGACCCAGAACCTGGTGGTCCCCTGGTGTGGTGGAATGGGGAGTGCGCTTGCTGGGACGGGGTTAGTGGGGCTATCAGGCTCGGGGGCTGGGAGGAGGGACGCTGTGTAGCTGTGCCCCGAGTCCAGTCTGTGAGCCCGGAGGGTTGCAGCCATGGAAGCCTGGAAGGACCAAAGGGAGGGAGCGAGGGAGCGCAGACTCCTGAAAGGTGGGACCTCGATGGCAGCTGCTCTGTGGGAAAGTTCCTCCTGGCAGTGTATCCTGAGCGACGACGTCGCTGATGGATGGACGTCCCTTCTGAACAAGTGCCGCTGGACCAGAACGGCTTGGATTTGTTAGCTGAGTATACATCTGGGATCTGACTTGGTCCCCACATCCCCTCCCCCAGAAGTCCAGTGGCCCCTGGCCCAGACTTCGGTGACCTAGTCTGCAGTTCCGCCCTGCAGGGTGGCTGCAGGAGCTTCAAGAGACAGGACTTGGGATCCAGAAACTCCCAGTCAAAGCCAGTGGGAGCTCGCAGGTAGGGATGCAGTCCTGAGGCCTTGCACTGAGCTGGTCCGCAGGGCCAAATGAAGCTGGCCAGGGCAAGGTGAGTGCTACATGGTGGCGAGCTGATTAAAGTGCTTGGCTACTTGAAAAAGGGCTGCTGGCTCCAATGTATAAGCAAGCTCCTCAGGAGAAAAAATGTGGTCACCTGCTTCCTTAAAGATTTACAGCCTTGGAAACCCTCCAGGGCGCTATGATGGCAGTGGATTTGATGTTTGATTTTGGAATGAGGGTTATTCCTTCTCCTCCCACCTGCTCCAAGCTTACAACCCCCCCCAAAAAAAAGCCCAATTGCCTGGCTCTGGGGGCCTGGTGTAGCGCCATTCCACGCACCCTTGTGCAACCACAGGGAACTGTAACCATTTGGGTCCTGGAAGATAACAAAGGGGTGGCAATGGTGATAAATGTCCCTGTGTAACCTTTAGTACTTCATATGCATTAACTCTTTGCAACCTTATATCAGAGTTAGAAACTATTATCATTATTATCATCTCCATCATAGAGATGAAAGAAGTGGGGCTCGGAAGAACTTAGATTTGACTACACAGCTACATACCCAAAGAGTTGGAGCTGCTTACCCCCATGGCTTACTACCTCACGGGACCTAGGTGTTGCCCACATTCCTCAGCTGTGATCCCATCTCTTTTACACCCACCCTCCCTCCAGGCTTTCAGCCTTTCTGTGGTTCAACCATCTCCACAAATAAGGATGTGATAGCTACAGCCCAGATCCCCCGCATGCACGGGGCACATACATGCAATTTCCTACAGATCCCCCAGTTCGAACTGGTGGTGACCCCGTGGGTTCCAAAGTAGAACTGTGCTATTCAGTCTTCTTGGTGTAATCTTCATGGAAGCAGATCACTAAGCCTTTCCTCATGTGTATTGCACTGCTGGACAGATTTGAACCGCCAACCTTTCAGTTATTTAGTAGCCAAATGCAATCTGTTTGCACCACCCAGGGACCTATCTGTAGCTTCCATGTTGGCAGCTGTCATTGAATCTGCTCTGATTGACAATGATTCTGTGTGGGAAAAAAATGAAGCTCTGCATGACCCTGCACCATCCTCACAATGATCCACCTCTTTTTCAATGACACTCTACTTAAACTGGGAGAGAGAGAGAGAGAAAGTGTGTGTGTGTGTGTGTGTGCGCGCGCGTGTGTGTGTGTGTGTGTGTGTGTGTGTGTGTGTGTGTGTGTGTGTACACATATGTGTATATACTAGGAGTATATATGCTGTCATTGTTATGTGCTGTCAAGTTGTTGGTGACTCATAGCAACCCTAAGTATGATTGCTCTGAAGTTTGCCCTCTCCTGAGCCAGTCTCACTGACTCCAACACACCCGTCGCTCCAGTTACTGTATCATCTCATCCAGGGTCTTCCTCTCCTGCACTGTCCCCTCAACCCTTCTGAGCATGATGTCCTTCTCCAAGGATCAGTCCATCCTGGCCACATGCCCAAAATGTGTGAGACGGAACTTCAAAATCCTAACCTCCAAGAATAAACTTGGCTTCACCCTTTTAAGACAGACCTATTTGTTTTCTTGATGGTCCATGGTATGTTCAAGACTCTTCTCCAGCACCAAAATTCAAAGGGATCTATTCTTTTCCTGTCATCCTTAGTCATTGTCTAGCTCTCTGATGCATAACAAGTAATTGCGAAGATCATGGCCTGGATCAGACGCACTTTAGACTCTGGACTGACATCGTTGCTTCTCAGTACTCTGGAAAGGTTCGTGACAGCAGATTTACCTAATGTAATTCATCTTTTGATTTCCTGACTGCTGGTGCCAAAATTTTGATTGTGGAGCCAAGCAAGCTGTAACTGTTAGCAACTTCAATTGCTTCTCATCTCTCTCTTGTTATCATGTTGCTGACAATCAGCCCAGTGGTGAGAATCTTTATCTTCTTGATGTTGAGCTTCAATCCATATTGAAGACTACAGTCCTTGACTTTCTACAGCAAACACTTCAGGTGGGTCTCTGTTTCAGCAAGCAAGGTTGTGTCATCTGTACAATGTAGGTTGTTGATGAGTCTTCCTCCAATCCTGATGCCACATTCCTCCCCATGCTGTTCTGCATACAGATTGAAAAGGTTTGGAGACAGGACACATCCCTGACACACACTCCCTTTCTGATTTTGAACCATGTAGAGTTTCCTTGCTCTGTTCTGAGAACTGCTTCCTGGTCCAATTATAGGTTTTGAATAAAGACTATCCGGTGTTCTGGGATTCCCATTCTGCTCAATGTTAGCCACAATTTGTTGTGATCCACACAGTCAAATATCTTTGCATAGTCAATGAAACACAGATAGATATTCCTCTGGTACTCTGCTTTCTGCCATGATCCATCTGGCATTGGTGATAATATCTCTAGTGCCATGGTCTTCTAACTCAGCTTTGATTTCTGGTAGTTCTCTGTCAATGTACTGTTCCAGTCGCTTTTGGATGATCTTGAGCAGGATTTTGCTTGCATGTGATATGAGTGATATTGTACAATAATTTCCATACTCTGTCGGGTCACATTTCTTGGGGAATGAGCATAAATATGGATCTCTTGCAGTCAGTTGGCCAGGTAGTTGTCCTCCAGATTCCTTGGCACAACCTGGTGAGCATGGTCAGGGCAGTATCTGTTTGTTGAAATACACCAGTTGATATTCCATCAATTGCTGGGGTTTTATTGCCAAGTCCTTCAGAGCAACCTGAACTTCCTCCTTCATCACCATTGCCTCTTACTCACATGTTTTTCTTGAAATTTTTCTGTGTCAGCCAATTGTTTTTTGGCAGAGTGACTCTAGAGTCCTTCTATCTTCTTTTAATATTTCCTGGATCATTCAATATTTTACCCATAGTACCCTTAAGTATTGCAACTTGAGGCTTGCATTTGTTCATCAATTAATTCAGCTTAAGAAATGCTGAGGGAGTACAGCCCTTTCAATTTTCAGACTCCAGTTCTTTGCACATTGCATTATAATATTTTGTCTTCATGCGCTGCCCTTTGAAATCTTCTATTCAGCTCCTTAACTTCTTGAATTCTTCCCTTTGCTTTGGCTTCTCGGAGCTATAGTGCAATATTCAGTCTTTCTGAAATCCATTTTGGTCTTTTCTTCTTCTATAATTGTAATGACCTTTTGCGTCCTTCACGGGTGATATTCTTGATATCCTCCCAGTTCATCTGATGTTTGTTCATTAGTGTTCAAGGCTTCACACCCATTCCTGAGTCAGTTTTTAAATTCAAATAGGACAGACTCAAGGTCAAATTTTGATTCCTGTGTATTTCATTTGACCTTCTTTAGCTTATACACACACACACACACACACACACACACACACACATACTAGGAGTGTGTATGTATAAATATATATGCTTCTGGAAACTATGAACTTTGATAAATGACAAGAGTTATAGAAAAGCTTCATGCCTTTTGTTAATAGGGTTGCTATGAGTCATGCTCAACTCAGAAACAGTCAACAACATATATATATACACACACATATATAGGGGGGCAGAGCGAATTCTGGTGGCCTAGTGAGTGGCAAGAAACTGTATTGCAATCCCAAAGGTATGCCTGTCAAAGCCACCAGCTGCTCCACAGGAGAAAGAGGGTTAGACTCCACCTGTGTGAAAATCCAACAGAGGGTGAGCTATGAGTTGGTTTCGACTCTATGGTACACAATGGGAAAAAATAAAATGTGTGTGTGTGTGTGTGTGTGTGTGTGTGTGTGTGTGTGTACACACACATATTTGTTGTTGTTATGTGCTGTCGAGTCATCTGTGACTCATAGCAACCCTGTTATAACAGTTCTGAATCCTGCCCCATCCTGAGCCTGTTTCACTAACTCCAACACACCTAATCCCATTGCCCAGTAATCATGTAAATCCATCTCATCCAGGGTCTTCCTCTCCTGCACTGTCCCTCTAACCTTCCACACATGATGTCCTTCTCTAAGAATTGATCCCTCCTGGCCATGTGCCCAAAGTATGAAATCCTTGCCTTCAAGGAGAAACTTGGTTTGACTTCTCCAAGACAGATTTATTTGTTCTCCTGGCCGTTCATTGTATGTTCAAGACTCTTCTCCAGCACCACAACTCAAAGGCATCAATTATCCTTCTATCATCCTTAGTCTAGCTCTCTGATGCACAGCATGTAATTGTGAAAAAAAGACCACGGCCCAGGTCAGGCTCACCTTAGTCTCCAGCCTTACTGTTACTTCTCAGTACTCTAGAGAAGTCTCAGACAGCAGACTTCCTCAAGGGAAATATTTTTTTCCCCTCACTGCTGGTTCCAAGAGTGATGATTGTAGAGCCAAGCAAGCTGAAATTATTAACAACCTTAATCTCTTCTCCATCCATCATGAAGCCACCGATTGGCCCACTAGTGAGAATCTTTGTTTTCTTGATGTAGAACTTCAATCCATACTGAAGACTATTGTCCTTGACCTTCTGCAGCAAATGCTTCAGGTCCCCCCTCAGTTTTGGCTGCAAGATTGTGTCATCTGCATAACGCAGGTTGTTGAATTTTCCTCCAATCCTAATGCCACATTCCTCCTCATAAAGTCCAGCCTCTAGAATGATCTGTTCTGCATATGGAGACAGGACACATCCCTAATGCACTCCTTTCCTACTTTTGAACCATGTGATGTTTCTTTATTCTTTTTAGTATATATACTAGTTTATTTACAAAATTCGAATACATTGTTTTTGAGAACAGAATCTTCCAATTTCCCTTACCCCCCTACCCACCAAATTGTATAACTCCATGATCAATCCCTCCTCCCCCTAAACATCCTCATCCCTCTGCTTCCACCCTCCCCCACTCCCCTTGGATCCTTATACTCATTCTACAATAATGATTTTATACAATATTTATCCTTATGTGACTGAGTTCGATCACTCAGCATAATGCTCTCCAGTCCCTCCCAAGTTCAGTAGTAATTTTCAAAATCATTGCTCCTGTGTGCTGTATAGTATTCCATTGTGTGAATGTACCATAATTTCTCAATCCTTTAATGTGTGGTTGGACAATTGGACTGTTTCCATGTTCTTGTGATGGTGAATAAGGAACATTAGTGTATAAAGCTCCTTGTGTGCCTCAGTTCTCATTTTCTCAGGGTATATTCCAAGTAGTGGAATAGCTGGGTCATATGGAATTGCTATGTTCAGCTTTTTGAGGAGGCACCAAACTGCCTTCCAGAATGGTTGTACTATTTTACAACCCCACCAACAATATATACTTTTCTCGCCACATCCTCTCTAACATTTATTATTTGCTGCCCTGTTAAACTTTTCCACTGTTACTGGAGTGAGATGGTACCTCATTATGGTTTTGATTTGCATCTCTCTTATTTCCAGTGATTTGGAACATTTCTTCATGTGTCTGTTTGCCATTCAAATATCTTCCTCTGTGAAAATTCTTTCATGTCTTTTGCCTATTTTATTATTGGGTTATCAGTCTGTTTCTTGTGAAGGTCCAGGAGTACTCTGTTACCTTTCATTATGAGACTCTTGTCTGAGATGGTATTACCAAATATTTGTTCCCAGTCAGTAGGTTTTCTTTTCACCTTATTGAAAAAAGTTTTGGATGCACACATGGATTTAATCTTTAGAAGATCCATTCATCAATTTGATCCTCTTCAGATTGTGCGTTTCTGGCTGTATTTGGCAGTCTCTGTACCATAGACTAGGCCTTCTGAGCTTGATCCCAGTTTGTCTCTTACGAATTTTATGGTTTGGGGCTTTATTCCCAGGGATCCACCTTGAGTTAATTTTTGTGTATGGTGTGAGATATGGATCCTGTTTCAGCTTTCTGCAGGTGGTCCTTGCTCTATTCTGAAGACTGCTTCTGGTCCAAATATAAGTTTTGAATAAGCACAATCAAATGTTCTGGGATTCCCATTCTCCTCAAGGTTAACCACAATTTATTGTGATCCACACAGTCAAAAGCCTTTGCACAGTCAATGAAGCACAGATAGACATTCCTCTGGTACTCTTTGCTTTCAGTCAAGATCCATCTGACGTTGGCAATAATGTCATTGTGTGTGTGTGTGTGTGTGTGTGTGTGTGTGTGTGTGTACGTACATCATTGTTGTTAAAAGCCTTCAGCTAACCTATGCCTCACAGTAACTCTATGAACAACTTGTCCCACATCACCCTTACAATCACTGGCATACTCCAGCGCATTGTTATAGTCACTGTGTCAATGCATCTTCTCGAGGGTCTTCCTCCCTCTGACCTTCTGCCTTTCCCAGCATGATATCCCTTTCAAAGGACTGGCCCCTCTTGACAACATGCCCACAACATATGAGACCAAGTTTCACTCATTTTTTACCATTAAGGAGCACCCTGATCACACTCCCTCCAAAGCAGCTTTGATTGTTCTTTGGGCAGTCATTGGGATATTCAGTCCTCTTCTGCAACACAACTCGAAGACATTGATTCTTCTTCTGTCATCCTTAGTCATTGTCCAACTTGCAAATACATAGCAAGTAACTGAAAAGACCATGGCTTGGATCAGGTGCATCTTGGTCGTTAAACTGTTACTCGGCTCTTTAGCCCTTTGGAGAGGTCCTTAATAGCACATTATTTCCAATCCAACAATTTTTGTTATTCCTTGATTATTTTTACCATGGGTATTGATTGTGGATCTATGTAAAAGGAAATCATTGACAACTTTAATGTTTCTTTATCTATGATGTTACCTATTGGCCCAGTGGTTAGAATTTTGTTTTCTTAATGTTGAAATGTAACCTTTGATAGTTATAGTCTTTGAGCTTCTGCAGTAAAGATTTTAAGTCTTTTTTTAAGCAAGCAAAATTGCATCATTTGTATAACACAGGTTGTTGATGAGTCTTCTGCCAATTCTGATGCACCATTCTTCTTCATAAAGTCCTGTTTCTCAGATTATTCGCTGAGCATACATGTAGAATAAATACAAAAAAAGGAAACGGCCTTGATGCACACCTTTCCAGACTTTAAACTATGTAGTATTCCCTTGTTCTGTTCAGATAACAGCTTCTTGGTCTAGATACAGGCTTCATCTGAGCATGATTTAATGCTCTGGGATTCCTATTCTTCTTAATATCAGCCATAATTTGTTATGATCCACACAGTCAAATGCTTTTGCATAGTCAATAGAGCACAGATATACCATCTTTCTGATATTCTTTACTTTCATACAAGATCTATCTCACATCAGCAATGATAGGCCATGGTCTGTTGTGAACCCAGCTTGGATTTCTGACAATTTCCTGTTGATGCACTGTTTCAGCCATTTTTTAAACAATATTAAGCAAGATTCTACTTGCATATCCTCTTAATCATACTGTTCAATAGTTCCCTCATTCTGTTGGATTACTTTTTCTGGTAATGGGAACTAATATGAATCTCATTCAGTCAGTTGACCAGGTCTTCAATATTTGTTGCCAGAGACTAATGAGCATGTCCAGGGCTGCATCTGTTAGTTGAAAGGTGTTAATCCAGTCAATCCTGGGGCCTTATTTTCTTTCCAATGCCTTCAATGCAGCTTAAATTTCTTCATCACCATTAGTTCTTGATCAAATGTTACTTCCTGAAATAGTTCCTTCTATTTTCTGCTGGAACAGGGAGAAGAATGAATGAGTGAGTGAGAAAATATTATTTTCTCAATCAAAGAAAAATCACAGGCCCCATCCTGACTTGGAGTCAGGGCTGAAGAGAAAGGGCAGTGCTGTGACTGGCCCTGGGGAGCCCGTGGATGGAGGGGGAGAGCTGTGCTGCCCTGGTCAGGCTGGGTGTGAGGAGTGGCTGTCCATGAGAACACAATGTGGTGTGTGGGTGCCTGCACACATGTGTATGTGTGTGGTGTATATTAGGGGTGGGATCCCCCCAGAGCCTGGGGGTCACTACAGCCTCTCCTGCAGGGCATCATCCAAGCATACAAAAGTGGATCCATTGTCCTTGGAAACACCACCGGCATGGAGCGCTGGGAGCTCGTCGGTTCCTTCTTCTTCTCTGTGTCCACTATCACCACCATCGGTAAGAGGTGCGGGCCGAGGGGCATAGGGCTGCTTGTTGGTCATTTGGAGGAGTTATCTGGGGCTTCCTGCTCTGAGGGAGTTCCGGTGACCTCATCCATAGAGAACGGCGCTGTTAACCTAAAGGTGATGCCTCTTCACTGGTTCAAATCCACCAGTGGCTCCTCAGAAGAAAGATGGACAATTTCCTCTTGAATCTTTGAAATGGCAATGGTCAGTCTCCTCCTGAGTCTTTGAAAACCTGATGGAAGGTCAGCTTTGAGTTGCTTCTGACCTGACAGGCCAGCAATGAGGCTTGGGAGATATCCCCCCCTTCTTTTTCTACTCAAAGGAGCGTCATCTTAGATTTCACATCCTCTGCCATTGAATGAGTTCCAACTCACAGAGACCCTTCATCAGATTTCTCAGGCGAGAGGAGACAGCCCATCTTTCTCTCTCAAAGATGCTAGTGGATTCAAACTGATGATTTTTTTGGTTAACAGACCAATATATTACTCACTATACCACGAGCTCTCACACAGACCTACTAAATCAGTTCTGTGTGTTACCTACCAATATGCTCAGGGGATTCCCTATACAGCCCCACCTCTGAGAAGCACCGCTCTAGAGGAATTTTGCCCCCACAGCTTTCTGAGAGACAGAGAAAGTGAAGTAAAGAGATTTCTGGGCACTGCTATGTTTGGGTCTTCGTAGCTAAGCCCCCCAACACGTGGAAATTGGAGAGACATGTGGGGTGACGCCTTAGAGAGAGGCACTCATCATCTCTTTGACTTTGGAGAGCCAAGGCAGAACTGGTCCTGCGAAAGTATCTGGAATGTCTTGGGAGAGGAATGACAAGAGCAATTGTGATCCTTCCAGTGCTGGAAACCCCTGAAATAATGCTGGCGGGGGGCATTTCCACTGCCCTGGGGACCAGGCTTTACTGGGGCTTCAATCAGCCTCTGCATGGTAAGGACCTACCACCAGGTGGCAGGCTAACACCACTAGTAACTCAGGCCTCCCTCCTCCCAGTTCTCAGCCAGCCTTTCTCAACAAAACCAGAGTCCTGATCTCTACCCTCCCAAGAGTGGGGTGACGCAAGAGTATCAGGATAACTCTCCATCTAGTTTTAAGTCAGTCCAATACTTCTTGGAATTAGCTGTTAAGATCACCAGGGAGCCTGCACAGTCCTGTCTTCACACAAGACTATCGATAAGGCCGGTTCTCAGACTTGTGACCCTGGGTAGCTAGAAAGACTACCCAGGACTGTGTGATTCATTTTTGTGTCCCCAGGATTCTGTACATGGCCCAGCACACAATGGGTGCCCAATAAATACTACCATGTTAATGCAATAATTATGTGTTAAAGCAGAGGAGGGGGCAGAGTTGAAACTATCGTGCTGGTGAAGGTTTCTGAGGTGTGAGGAGGACTTTAGTCTCTGAACTCTACACCTCTTCCAACCTCTACCCCAAGCCCAAGCCCTTGATCTATCAAATAACAGCTTTTCCATGGATCTCATTCCCGCCTCCTCACTCCTGATAATGAGCCCTTTGTCTCTCCTGCTCCACTCAGTTCTACCCTAAAGCTGTCTTGGTCCAGTGTGAGGATGAGGAGGGCAGAGGAAGGGGAACTTGACCCCACAGCACATGCACACCACGGTAGCGTGCCCTCAGGGTCTGCTCATGTGAAACACTGTGCTTTAAACTCGAGATCTCATCTCTAGAGCAACTTCCCCATCACAGATGAGGAATCTCGGGCACAGAGGGGTGGTAGGACTTGCCCAAAGTCACACAGGTGATTCACAGGTGGGGGAACCTCTCTTCCTTTTCAATAGTGCCTACTCTTGGGGTGTTTACAAGACAGATGGGAATTCTAAGTACCAGAGAAAAATAGTTACCTAGTTGAGGGAAGATGATGAGTCTGTGCATCTGATCACACAAAGAGGGTGAACTCAGAGGGAGGAGGAAGAAGAAAGAGGCGTGTGCAGGATGCTCCATGAGGAAAGGGAGAGGAGACCCAGGAAAGAGCAGGAGAGCTGCCTCCTCGGCACTCCCGCTCCCCTGGGACCATTACTGAAAGGACTGGCTTCCCAAGCTTCCAAACAAACCACAGCTCTGCCAAGCATATGAGAACTTCTCTGATGATGCTTGGGCGCTCTGGTGGTCTAGTGGGTAAGGAGATGTGCTGCCAACTCCAAGGAAGGTTGTTCGAATCCACCAGCAGCTCCATTATAGAAAGATAGGCAATCTCTTCCTGTGCAATTTACAGCCACTGAAAACCCAGTGGAGGGTCAGCAATGAATTGGTTCCAACTCAATGGCTTTGAGGTGAAGGTGAACGGTCAGGCGAGAACCTAAAAATCACTCACTGTATATTAACTGTGTCCCAGGTTGCTCATTTGTTCACACCTCTGACAATGGACAATATTCTTACCATGGTGGGTACTTACAGGAAAGAAAAGCAAGGTAAAGGGATTCAATAGTGGTGTGGAGGAGGTGATTTCAGACAGGGTGAGAAGGGAAAACTAACAGATCAGATAATATTGCTATGAAGAAAATGAGAGATCAAGTCATTCAGATATCTGGGGAAAGCATTTTCAACAGCAAGTGCAAAGGCCCTGGGGTATGCCTGTGACTCGTGTGCATGGAAATAATGAGACAGTCAGAGAAGCTTCTGGAGGGAAGCGGGTAGATGACGTCAGACTGGATCCTGGAGGTCCTGATCACAGAGGGCCAAATAATTGCGGAGTACTGATGTCAGTTTGAGGACTAAGGTGAGTCTGATTCAGGCCATAGTCTTTCTGATTACTAAATATTTGTCCGAGACCTGGACAATGAATAAGGGTGACAGAAAAATAATTGACACCTTTGAGCTGTGGTGTTGGAGAAGAGCACTGAACATTCCATGGATGATCAAGCGAACAAACAGATATGTCTTGGAGAGGGAGCAGCTGGAGTGCTCTTTGGAGGCAAGAATGATGAGGCTTTACCTCACATACTTTGGACATGTTACTAGGAGAGACTGTTCCTTGGAGGAAGGACATGACGCTGGGAAAGGTAGAGGGTCAGAGAAGGAGAGGAAGATGCTCAACCAGGTGGATTGGCATGGTGACTGCTGCAAAGGACTCATGTGTTAGGAAGTGTGAGGATGACACAAGACAGAACAGGGATTACATTTTTTTTGTTCATAGGGTCACTATGAGTCTTGCTTGACTAAACAGTACCTAACAATAACATAAATCATAGGAGAGAATATTGCCCATATTTCTCTTATAGAGTAGTTGGTGGATTCGAACTGCCTGCCTTTGGGTTGGCAGCACAACTCCTTACCCACTAGGCTACCAATCAACCTTCTTTGTCACTGTCATTGAGTCAGAACCACTGGTGGATTTGAACTACCAGCTGTTGTTGGGTACCTCCACGCCGACTGTAACTCACAGCAGCCCTCTGAATGACAGATCTGAACTTCGTCCTGTCCAGCCATATCCTCACCATCTCTGCTATATACTGGAGCCCCTTGTTACAGTCACTGTCCGTCCACCTTGTTGAAGGGCTCACTCTCTTTCTCTGACCGTCTTCCTTTCCCAGTACAATGGCTTTTTCCAAGGCCTGGCTGCTCCTGACAACAGGCCCAAAGTGTGTGAAACCATAGCTATTTCACCGTGCTTGCCTCTAAGGAGCCCTGGCTGCACTGCCCTGTGATATGTCAGCACCCTGGGCGGGCTTTGGGGCGGGCTGCTTGGGAGGGGAATGGGCAGGCTCGTCTGGGAGTGTCTCCTGAGGTGCCCCTCTCTCTCTGTGGTCTCTCCCCAGGTTTCGGCAACCTGAGCCCCCACACTCTGGGCGCCCGCCTCTTCTGCATCTTCTTCGCTCTGGTGGGGATACCGCTCAACCTTGTGGTGCTCAACCGGCTGGGCCACCTCATGCTGCGAGGCATGCACCACTGTGCCCACCGGCTGGGGCGCACTTTGCAGGTAACAGGTCCTGCCAGAGGAAGAGGGGTTCACTTCTAGAAGGAAGGGGTGTGGGCGAAGTCAGGGGTCCTGGTGGGGATGGGTCACTCCTAGGAATCAGGTCGCTAGTGGGCATGTGGTGGGACAAGGGGTCACTGCACAGAACGGAGGGCTTTTGTCGTGAAGAGGGGTCAGTGATGGGGCTGGGGGGCACTGGGAAGGCAGCAGGACCAGCAGCAGCAAAGGCTCAGGGGCTTTGTTTTATTCTCGCACCTTAAGAGGCCTGCTCTTTCATTTCCGAGGAGTCAGAACTAGCTCACGGTAGAGCCTCCCATGGGTTTTCAGGGCTGTGAATCATACAAGAATCATAGGAAGAGATTGCCCGTCTTTCACCTGGGAGCAGCTGGTGGACTCAAACCACCTTTGTCTTTGGGTTGGCAGCCCGACCCCTTCCACTTAGGTCACCAGAGCTCCCTTCAGGAGGCTGTTATTGTCATTGTTGTTGTTATGCGCCAGCGAGTGAGAACTGACCCATAGCTGACCCTCCAGCAGATCTTCAGAGGCAGTAACTTGGGTGAGAGGAGATTGCTCATCCTTCTCCCTCAGAGCAGCTGGTGGATTTGAACCACATGCCTTCGGATTAGCAGTACAGCAAGGCACTGGCACTAGGGGGAAACTGTGTCCGCTCTGGGGAAGATCTCTTCCCCCATCAGCTTCTCGAGCTCCATCTTTTTGGCTCTTTGTCGGTCTTGCATTTCTCTTCCACTCAGCTGTGTGTTTTCCCATGTCTGTTCTGCTCCTCTTTGTAAGTCAGAAGTGATTAGATGTAGGGCACACTCTGCACTGACCTTGTCAGCTTAACAAACCCTCTCTCATCATTGTTGAGTCAGAACCAAGTCAGAGCTGACCGTCCAGTGGGTAGGAGATGGTGTGGGATGAGATTGCCCATCTTTCTCCTGCGGTGCACCTGGTGGATTCGAACCACCTGCCTTTAGGTTGGCAGCACAATTCCAAACAGCATTATAACCACAGGTCTACAGGTTAGGATTCCAGTACATATTATGGTGGAGTCACAATTCAGTCTGAGTCTCTTGGAATATTGTTGTTTGTTGTTGTTGATTGCCATCGAGTACAGCACGACTCATAGCAACCCTATGAACAAAATACCTGAAGCCTTTCTAGAACTATTGTCGTTTCTCCAGAGGCATGTTGTTTAGGATGTGGATGCCACTCCTGCTTCCAATACAACTTAAAATATGATACAGGGGAAGTAGGCCCTGATGGGGGTGAAAGTGAGCATTAGCTGTCTGTCTCCACCCCCGCTGCCCTGTGCACCCGCAGGACCCGGCCAAGGCACGCTGGCTGGCCGGCTGTGGCACCCTGCTGGCTGGCCTCCAGCTCTTCCTGCTGCTGCCCCCACTGCTCTTCTCCTACATGGAGGGCTGGAACTATATGGAGGGCTTCTACTTCGCCTTCATCACCCTCAGCACTGTGGGCTTCGGCGACTACATGATTGGTGAGGAGCCCCTGGGGCATGTGGGTGGGCCAGTAGGGCCGGGCGCCCTTAAGATTCAGCTGCCTCGACGCCCAGCTCACATCCACTGGTCAGTGTGTGCTGGGTGTCTGCTGTGAGCCAGGCGTGGAGGGCTTGGAGCTCAAAGTCGGCCCTGCTTCTGTGGAGCATAACGAGGCCAAGGCCGCCAGGTGAAGCATGGCTGTGGAATTTGAACCCTGAGTTTGAGGCTGTAATGGGGAACTTCTGCCCTTCCTGACAGGCACAGGTTGTGACGTCTTTACATCCCCGTCCCCTCAGACTCGGCTGTCATTCTTTTTTTTTACTCCCCGCCCAGCCCACCCCCATCCCCAGTTCTCTCTTCTCTTTGAAAAGTAAAATTCCTTCATTGGTACACAATCCTCACTGCTCCCCCCACCCAAGTATCCTCCACTCATCAACCTTCATTCCGGACTCTTATAACCATAATGCCCTAAAATATATTGCTTTTAAACTGTTCTCTCCCTCATCGGTTTCAATGCAGTATACATAATTCATCCAGTTTTTCTCATTCTTACCCTAACCCTGATGTCAGTGCCATTCTACAGCAGTGGCACTATGCAGTGTTTGTCCTTTTGTGACTGAGATACTTCACTCAGCATAATGTCCTCCAGGCTCACCCATTTTGAATAATATTGCATGAGTTCTTTGTTTTTCAATGCAGTGTAGTATTCCATTGTGTGAATATACCACAGCTTCTCTATCCATTTGTTTGTTGATGGACACCTGGGTTGTTTCCAACTCCTTGCTATTGTGAACAAAGCCTCGATAAACATGGGTGTGCATAGATCTGCTTGAATGTCAGTTCTGTTTTCTTTGGGGTATATTCCCAGTAGTAGCATTGCTGGGTCATATGGTATCTCTATTTGCAACTTTTTGAGAAAGCGCCACACCACCTTGCACAGTGGTTACACCATTTTACACTCCCACTAACAGTGAATAAGGGTTCCAGTCTCTCCCCAACCTCATGAGCATTTGTTGCTTGCTGTTCTGTTAAATTTCGCTAGTCTTACTGAGGTGAGATGATATCTCATAGTTGTCATTCTTAAAGATCGTGCAAGAAGGCGATAAGCTTTAAACCCTGTCCAGTCTCAGCAAGCCTTTCCCTGTCTCACCGTGCTCCAGTGAAACACGGGGCCTTTCTACTGCTCACAGGCTCAAGCATAATATTCCTTTCACATCCTGTGGGGATTAGGTGAGAGAGTGTCATTATTCTTGTAGCCTCAGCTGAGAAACAAATAGCAACTAAAACCTATGTGCCAGCCAGAAAGAGCCAAGGGCTCCAGAGGGTTCAAGGTGGGTGAGATCATTGGTCATCACTTAATGTGGAAAAGAGCCAGGCCCTGGGAGACACTGGCTTTGCAGAAAAGAATCCCCTATTCCCTACCCTTTTACCTCCCTCATAAAAAAAACCCCCTGCACCGTAGAGTTAATTCAAATGCATGCTAAGCCCATGCCTTAGAGAGTTTTAAGAAGCCATGATGGTTAACAGTTAAGTATTGAACTGCTAACCAGAAAGTCAGCAGTTCGAAGCCACCAGCCCTTCTGAAGGAGGACGTGGCAGTCCGTTTCTGTATAGGTGTGTAGCCTTAGAAGCCCAATGGGGCAGTTCAAACCCTACCCTGCTGACTTGCTAGAGAATTAGAAATTAGAATTAGGCATTAGCTTGCTAGCAATAGGTTTTGCTTTTTTTGAATCTTTATGAAAACAGATCACCAGGCGTTTCTTCTGTGGAACCGATGAGAACTCAAACATCAATCTTGGCATTAGCAGCTGATTCCAAACCACCAGCCCTAGCATTCACCTACTCTCCTTAATAAAGCTGGGTACCACCAGCCCTAGCATTCACCTACTCTCCTTAATAAAGCTGGGTCCAGATGCCCACTCTACCTTGGATGCCTGGATCACAGCTGTTTCTTGCTGGCACAAAGAATGTGGCTGCCAGTCGTGTACAACATGAAGGCTGGGGCTGCACAAAGAACCGTACTCCCCCACCGCATCCCCCTATGTGGCCCCCAGCTCAGAAGCTGTGAAGTGACTTGG